AAATTACTTTGATTTCGTTATTGCGGTTTGTTTTACCGACATTGGGGAAACCAAGCACTTTTAAAACACTTTAAACTTTTAGAGTTTTTATGGTAAAATAAATATCAATTGTAGACATTTTCTTAGCACTGACCTAATTGTTCTCCTCTGCTGGCAGTTAGATTTGAATAAAATAAAAACTCTGAACTCCAGGCATCGAGATTTATGCATAAATGTCGTGAAATCGTTAATAAAGCAACAGATTTGTAAGATATTTAATAGCTAGAGATAATACCGGCTCTCAAAGCAATGCCTTCGCTCTCCTGTAAAATTTGAATGCCGTAAGATGGGTGGTTTTGCAAAAGCATGTCAATATATGCGGAAATTGTGATGCCGGGATTTCGGGATATTTTAATAAATTTTTATTTTTGTTTTATGGACTTTTCTTGTAGATTTTCAGCCGAGGAATTTAAATTTGTTGTCAAAAGTTGACAAAGAATCTTTTTGAGGCTCATTTTTTAAATTTGAAAGATGCTTCTAATTTTTCCACTTTTAATGAGATTTTTTTGAGTATGTAGTTTTGTAAGCCAATAAATTTTAGTATAATAAAGTGCAAGTTTTAAGCTCCTAAAAAATCGCGTTGATTACAAAGTAATTCGACAATTTTTTTTTTGTATATGGAAAAATGCGTACACGGAGAGAAGTTTTTTACTAAAATTTGGATAAATATTTTCTTGGTCGCGAAATAGTAAATAATTCATGAAATGTTCAAATTTAGTTTAGTTTTCATTGAATTTAAGGAAAATACTTTACTGAAAATCCGACAACGGGTTTCTGGTGTACAAACAAATAATAAAATAATTTCTTTTTTATTTACTAAATTTAGGAAAATAACTTTACTCATGCTAAGAAAATGATTTGCTAAATTTTGAAAACAAAACTGCAGAATTAAATTTGAAAATAAACACGGAAATACTTTCTACATAATGTCAGAAGTTTCTTAATATATTTTCTATGAACGTGTAACAGGCGCGTAAGAATTGAACTGTTGAAAACCTAAACAAAACAAACGGTAGAAATAAATTTGAAAATATACTTTCTTGACAAATGTCGGCTGTGGCGTCGCATGAAGACTACCGCTTCTGTTTCTGAGATCGCAGGTTCGAGTTCGCTTGGAGGTGGTTAAAGTAAGGTAAGTCAATTATTTCAATTTAAATATGAGGAATTTCATGTCATCGCGACCACTTCAGAGCGTGACCTCTAAGGATTTGGATAAAAGTTGCGGGGATCGAAGGTCTAGGTGACATAACACGGGACTTACATTTTAAGAAAACGTCATACATATCTTTTTTTAAAGTGCTGTACCTTGGAAACTGTTTAACGAAATAGGTTGAAGTAGTCCCCGATAAGTGGAAAGTTAGAAAATTCGAGAGATCAGACGGACCCTATAGGTAAGCGATGCATTTTCTGTTGGTTGTGTAGGCATAAGACAGTCCTTCTCGAAAGAGGACTTAGCGGTTGGTGCCTTGCTTGATGAACTTTCAGTAATGGCTTGGTTGAGGCAACCCTTGCCTTCTAGGCCGGACGATATCGAGTCGTTGTTAATACTGTATGCATTACTAAGCGTTGTAGCCGTCGAAATAGTAAGCAAAGTATCATAAACAACTCTATATGAATGTGAGAGGACGACTTTAAAGAGCACTATTTTTCTATGAAAATGCCGGAATAAATAGGCTTATATTTTCATCTGTATTAAGTATAAATCAGCTGTAATTTATTTTATCTAGTTTGAAGAGGAGTAAAACTTCTAATATATAAACTCACTTTCCCTTTATAAGTATTATCCATACTTTTGGACTTTGGCCTCAATTCAAATTGGCATTCTAAGTAAGAGGGGAGGACTAAGTTGAATATATTCACATAAGAACTATTTATTCGAGTTAAAAATTGGTGAGCAAGCTTTGTCGCTAACGGCAGCCATCAGGTAGCTATTTTGCATGGTTTTAAGTGGCAACCCTCCTGCATGTCGTTAACAAATAAACCATTTTTAAAACCATTTCGATTGCTAGCGATATTGTAATATGTGATTCATTTAACTTATTAAGTAATTTGAGCCTAATATTTTAACAGGTGCTAACCTTTAAAAAAAGAAAATAAAACCCCGCTCCTCATCTAAAGGCCAATACCTTTAATTTTAAATGAGATGATCCTTTTTATTAAGAGGACGTATACATCATACAAATCTTTGTATTAGTATTGGAATAAGCGATCACACAATACACAGGCTTATTTCTGTTATTGAGCCTCCTTATGAGCCGCTACAGTTGAATTTTGTGCCAGCCGAAGAACAAGTAGTAGGCACTTGCAAATGTTTTTTTTTTGCTTACAGTTGTCCAACGGCGTTAAAGTGATTGCAGCGCTGGCGATAGCAGCGTTTGGTGGCGATTAGTTGTGCAATTAGAAAATCTACTCACGAACGGCAATACGGAGCGTAAAATAACTACAGATAATATATTTAAGAAACCAAAAAAAAACACACACACAAAAGGAACAACAATATCAATGGAAATAGTTTTGCTATGTAAGCGTGCAGGTAATAAAATAAAAAGATATAATATTGAAAACGGTAAAGGCAGCGTACGTGCAAACAAACAATGAGGCGGTATTGAAGTTTTTCACGTGCAAATCACGCAATTTGACAAACGGGCGCAGTTAGTTGATGGGTGTAAGTTGGGAAAAATAAACATTTCAATTAGTCTCTTCAAGGCTTTTTTTTGGGATTCTTTGTCATTTTCAGTATTTCATTTACGTGACAAAACGATATTTAATAATTTTGGTTAGCTTACTAGTGTACATTCAAAAAATACGCATTCGGAAATACGCTGCAGTATATAAACCAACTACAAGCAGAGCAAGAGCAAGCGCAGGTTCGCGCCTTAAGTCTTTCGTACGCTGCATCATTCATACTAGTAGAATGAATGTGCCGAATGTGCGTTTGTTCATAAAAGTAAAGTCAAAGTGCTTTCTTAAACATTGGAATCCACTCCTTTGAATGCAAGAATTTTAGCTAGTCAAACTATCTACCCATTGAACACATCAATTTATCGACAACTACGCCCACTTTTAATATAAATGACATCAAAGTATAAAAATACGCGCAGAGCACATGGAAAATGTGCCCACAGCAAATCGTACAGAGTTGAAGCGTACACTACAAGTCCATACGAATAGTCGGCTACAATATTATTTGTCTTACACGCCTTCTGCGCCAGGCCACTCTAGGCTTGCGTATGCTTGACACTTGTTCATGACCTCAGCCATACATGGATGGCGCCCACCCACTGCCGAAGGGTGCCAATAAAAATACAATATAACGATTTGTTTTCTTAGAAAAATGTATACGAGTATACCCAATAAGCACAACAAATACACTTAGTATTTGACTTATAGCGTTTTCTTTTCTCACAAAAAATTTTACCCTCATAAATGGCAATATTCTCTTTGCGTCACACCCATCCCTAAAATATGGTAGCATTAATTGCGCAAGAAAAGAACATAAACGCTACCCTGGATATCAGCTGATGGTATTAACCAAAAAATACAAATTTCGCATAATAGAAAATAAATCGCTTTATTAAAATGGAAGCAAAAAAGGAAAGCCCATTATTTAAAACATTGCAGCGTAAGTACAATAAAAACTGTTAACTAGAATTTCCAAGTCGAATATGGCTTTACTTTTTGCAGTTTGGTCAGATGGAGAGAGCCGGCTCCTTCTTGATAGATACGCGCACTACTTACCTGATATTGGCCCCATGAAAACGTTGAAAAATAAGAAGGAAATGTGGATAAAAATTGCATCAGAAATTGAAGGCAAAAGCCCTAAGCAGTGCGAGGAACGGTACAAAACAATCATAAGAAGAAAGAAAGCCGCTGTGGAAAATAACAACACATCCGGAGCAAAAAGGCAAAAAATTGACTTCGAAGCCGAGCTCGATGAAATATGTAAGCTGGATGACTCGATCGAGCCCGAAATCCAGATAAGCAGCCAGAATGTTTTACGAAAAAGTGCTTGTAATGAAAGTGGTGTGAAATACGAAAAAAAGGAAAAGAAAACTGTACAAGAGACTTTGATGGAGATAGCGCAAAATAAGGAGGAAGCCCGGGAGAGACGACACAAAGAAAAAATGAACTTAATTCAAAACTTACTGGGAAAGATGGTAGAAGACAAAAAGTATTAATACCGCACCTACAGTTGTCCACGTAATAATAGGAGTGCGAAATTTTTACCAGTTTTTACTACTTTTCTTTTGTTTATTAAATATTTTTTTTTTATGTTTATAAAAGTTTATTTGGTTATACAGCAAACACCATATAAGTAAACATTGCAAACTTTGTACAAAAATTATAAAAATTCTGCAAAGGTTCAAAAATTGCAAAAATTTGAAACTTTTTAATCAGAATGTTTGAAAAAAATTTTGATATGCTTTTTGTAGATCACTAAATTGCATATAATGAAGTGCAAGTTACAAGCTGCTAAAAAATCACGTTGATTTTTGGCAATTTTTTTGCAGTGCCTTCCATATAAAAGAAAATTGTCGAACATACAACTGGATTTCTTACCAACTTGAAATTTGCACTTCATTATATACAATTTAATAATCTACAAAACAGCATACCAAAATTTTTTTTAAACATTTCATTTATTTCAAAACATTCTGATTAAAAAGTTTTAAACTTTTGCCATTTTCGAACCTTTGTAGATTTTTATAATTTTTGTACGAAGTTTGAAATGTTTACTTATATGGTGTTTGGTGCATATCCAACTACGCTTTTATAAAAATAAAAAAATATTTAATAAACAAAGAAAAGTAGTCAAAACTGGTCAAAATATCGCACTTCTATTACTTTTTGTACAACTGTAAATGCTGACATATTTTTATTAAAAAATATAACCTACTACGATGAGTGAATTTCTAGTTTTGTTAAACAAAAGATTGAATTATTTAATATTTTTATTTCAGTTCTTTTCTAATAAAAAGGCAGTAAAACTGCAATTAATGTCTGAAATTATAGAAATGGTTTTTGATTTCATTTCGCTTCAGTTGTCCCAGCTGCGTTAGCAAAAGGTCTCTTCTGTCACCGCCTTCAATATGACCGCTTTCAGTTTCGATATAGCTGGTTTCAATATCACAGCAATCATTTCTCTCTATACAAATGTTATGTAGAGCACAACAAGCTATAATAAATTTGGCCATGACTTCCACATCATGAAAATCGAGACGCATTAGCTGGCGAAAACGAGATTTTAGCACACCGAATGCGTTTTCAATTTTCACTCGCGTTTGGCAAAATTTCAGGTTGAATAGTTTTTCCGATTCGCTCAAACTTCCATAATCCCGAAATGGAGTTAGTAAATATTCACGAAGGGGATACGCAGCGTCGCCTAGCAAATGATATTTAGGAGCACATGCGCTTGGAAGCTCCTTTCCAATGAAAGATAATTTTAAAATCCGCGAATCATGAATTTTGCTAGGAATGCCTGTATATACGTCCAGAAAACGTAGCTTTGCATCGCAAATTCCTTGCAAGGTTATTGATGCACAATCATGTCTATTTGTGTAGGTTGAACGTATTTTATTCTTAGGCTTTCTAATGGAAATGTAGCTACCATCTATGCAGCCCAAAACGTTTGGGAACCCAGCAATCTATTAACGTCATAAAGAACATTTTTTAAAAGTGCTTTAATAACCAACTTTTAAGTTTTAATATAAACCTTTTCAAATTCCTTCGCAATAGCTTCTTTCTCAACATCTTCCTTTGGAAATCTTATTGACTCCGACGCAACAGCTTCCACTAAGAAACTCAAAACTTTATTGAAGGTGAAATGAATGTTCGACAACGTCACGCCAAAAAGGTTTGCTACTTCTCTGAACGTAGTTTTGTTAGCGCTAAACCTATAATACGTGTAATCAATGAAACCTTTGTAATAAATTCGTAGATATTATGGTGTATTTCTTGCATCTTACCACAAAAAAGAAAGCATATGAGTTTCCGCTGTAGATTGCAGTCTGCCTCCCTTGTAGCTCCTTTTTACATACCATCTGCTAGAGGAATACCTTGCCACGAGATATTCTGCACTGCCGCGGGTAATGCGGAAGTTTGTTTTGAACTGCAATGTAAATAAAATGTATTAAAAATTTCTTTCCTCAGCCATATTAAAGCACTTACCTCCAACTCGGTGTAGGAGTGAACAACATTTACTATGAAGTCTTGCACGCGTGGATAAGGGTTTCTTCTTAAAAGAACCGCCTCAATCTCTTCTTCCGATGATGAAGACGAATCTAGCAATTCGTCTAATAATTCACTCAATCCAATTACTGCTTCCATTTCATCGTTTTTTCGGCTTAAATTTTTTTCAGCGTTCTTGTGAAAAAATAATAAACAATCAAAATCAGCTGTTTTGCGGTGTGACATTGCCACACCATCATTTTATAGAGGGTAGAAAGTGGAACACTTTTGCGCTGCCAGAATGTAACAATTTTCACAAAAGAATGCGATACCCCTTTAATATGTTGCCTACTTTTAAGAAAAGAACATAACATCTTGACAGCCATTTCACAGTGCAGAATAAGTGTAGAATTTTTTCGAGAAAAGAAAACGCTATTAATTTCAGATTTCTCAAAAAAAAAAAAGTGGTCAATATTTGTTATTTACGTTAAAGGAATTTGATATGTCACATACATATTTAAACTTGCAAAATTGGAAAGTTTGAAATTATTTTTCATAAAAATTATATATAACAGTTAAATCAAAGTTTCAAGACTTTGGCAGTTTTTCGAGGCTTCTCAAGTTTAAGGGAATACCATTACTTATTTACTAATTATATACATGTCTACCCGTACCAGGGCCGGTAGCCGGGTTTCTCTTTGTGGGAAAGGGGGGTTTATGTTAAGTCATTCGTAACAACCAAGAATATCATTGTTTTATTTCGAGTATTCAGCGGCCGCCGTGGTGTAGTTTTAAGCAGTGCGCGCTTCCACTCCGCATCGCCTGGGTTGAAGCCTTGGTCAAAACAACATCGCAAAAAAAAATTAGCAAAAAGGTTTTTTCTTAATAGCGGTCGCCCCTCGGCAGACAATTGCAAAGATCCGAGTGTATTTCTGTCATGAAAAATAGCTTCTCATAGAAACTGAGTAAACATCCTGACTGCGATGAATATTGAGAAAATCTAGCCCATTGTGTGCTAGTTCTCTGCCCATGCCTGGACATTAGCCTGCGCCTTAGTTGTATGGAGAAAATTTTTTGTTAAACTATAAAGCAAGACTCCGCCCAGAAAGGTTCATTTGGTCATAAAAACATGACCTGTGGAAAATTTTGAAAATCGGATAACGAAAAGACCCGCCTCGAAAGGCCCTAGGGTTCGGCATTTTCATGCAAGTTTTCACAAAGTGGTTAAAAATTACCTATAAGTCTGGGAAATTTAATATATTTTAATGGTACTTGATGTAGTTGTATCCCCCGATGTCACATATGGCTAACCTATTTTAAAACCTCCCCAACTTTTAAAGTTATTGAGGTTTCTCCAAGTAAAATTACAATTTTCTAGGTAATCAGAAGTTAAATTTTAGCCAAGTAAATTTAGATCAAATTGGTATGAAAAAAAACTTGTAGTAGCGAACTTTTGATGCGGTTTACTTCTATTTGACACGTATATTGTAGATCCACAATTTAATTTCCCACATTTTATACAAAATTTATAAAACAAGCATTTTTTATTGTAAATAATTAGCGAAAAGTACGAAAATTTTTTTTTCACGGCTTTCACCATTTTTTCAAGATTTCTGCTAAAAATTCGTAGCATATTCAAATGTCAAAGTGGTAAGGAACTTTTCTCTTTTAGTATTGGGTTCTCCGGTGGCACAAAATTTTTAAAGCAAAATTTAGTTTACGGTTAGTTTAGATGCCATATTTGAGACATCATGTTGAATTTTTGAAAAGGCCTCCCAGATTTTTTATATAAAAAACCCCAATAACTTTAAAAGATGGGTAGGTTTAAAAATACTGTAGCTATTTTTGACATCGGGGGCAAAAAATTTGAATTTGCTGTACTTCAGGGGATTTGAGGCACTTCTTTCTGTTATCCGATTTTAAAAAATTTTCCGCAGGTCACGTTTTTATGACCAAATGAACCTTTCTTGACGCTACTGCATATGCATGATTGATGATATTCGTTCAATTATTTTGCAAAGCTATAACTAAACATAAGGAACAGTTTCTGGAGAGTTAACGGAAATCTGAATTTTTGCTCTTTTTTATGGATAACGAAGCGCAACCTAAATATAAAAAAATTTGTGTACCGCAAATGTTAAAGCTGTTTTTGATAGAATTTTTTTGTGATGATTACGAATCCGTAAACATAAAGTTTCCATCAGCTCCAGATTATCTGATTCCATGACTTTATGCTTTAGCGGAAAGTTCTAAGTGATAATCCCCGATCGCGAAGATTTCGCAATTTATCTCCTTGCACTTGGTTCCAGACACGTTCTCTGGTTCACACACGGTTCAAGGATGGGGGATAGAGCAGGCGCAGGTATTTTTGGACCTATCACCAAACTTCCGATTCTAATAGGCCCACGATGTCTTATGTTGAAATAGTCGCAATTTTAAACTGCGCAAAATTAAACATTGAAAAGGATTTGAAAAGGTCTACTTTGAGAGCCATAATTACTGAGAGGGTACACTCTGAACGAAGTAGGTACTGTGGAGCGGTGGGGGCCATAAATTACAGACATAAATTACAACAGGCTAATTTTTGATGGTACTTCACAGCATACTAGTATATATCACTGTTTGCCTTTGGCCATACAAAGATAAATCCACTTTAAAGCTTAAATGGTGGAACTCTTTCGCCTACCAAGGCGCTTTTACGATTCAATAAGGAAGCCGAATGTATCTTGGCCACACTGGGTTAGGGAATATCTCCTTAAGTGATATAAAAGATATTTCAAGTCGCGTTGTCTATTGTTCTATAACACCCAAGAACTAACTAACTAACATAATATAACTTGCAATCGGGCTATGTGAATGACCAGACCACACGAATATTAGCTTAAAAAACAAAGAAGACACATGCATACAACTTACGGATATATCAATATATCAGGAGCTAATGTAAGCAAAGTCGTTAAAGTCATTAGGTACCATTCTGGATGTTTCGCTGGTTATTGTTGTGACACTGTAATGTGCTGCAGAATTATTTGCAACATTGTCCTACTACAACTGAAGCGATATTCATCTGTGATGCATATGTTCGTTGGGTAGTTGAAGCTTTTATTTGAAAATAAACCTAGCATTGTAGGCGTTTCACATGCATTTAAACCTGAAGCCACAACCGTAAGCCACCAGACAAACGCTGAAAATCTCAATTCGCAATTGATATTTATTTTAGTTCAAACTTAATTTGTTGTTATTACCATTACCGTCGAATTGAGACGATGGTTGGCGGCACATTTTAGATGGATAAAAAATGAAAAACATTGTTATTGATTAAATTTTAATCATAGGATATTGTACCTACTATGAAGGAAGCAATTTTTAATTGCAATGAACGTTAAGTTCGTTTAGTGGATTAAAGTTTGTTATAAATATGTGTTCTAAAGAACTTCTGCCACTTAGTTATTTCCTATTATGAAGTTAATTAAGATGGCGGTTCTATATGAACACGAGTTGTTTTTTACTATCATCCCTTCTCTCGCCAGAAAAAAACGCTAAAGCATTCTTCTTTGGATTTTTTTTAATCAGTGGATTTCCAGTAACAAGTTCCATTAAATATAAATCAACTTGAACAGTTTTAGCCTTAAAACGTTTATTTAGGCGAGAAAGTACCGAAAGTACTAGTTTTTTCCATTGTCACTCGAAAAAATCATAATTGTGTTTTTTAATAACTTTGGGAAGTTTTCAGATAGAGTGTCCATATTAGAGACAATGAAAGCTGGCATCAAATACAACATATCTGTGAAGTTTAAAAAGTGTGCCACCAAATTAAAAAAAAAAAATTGCTGCATGCAGAATATCTATCGCATTTTTTAATTTTGGAAATATAACGTTTTTGTTTTAATTTTAAAAGTTTAAGATACTTCAAAATGCTACCATTTAACGGTAAATGTTCTCTTTGCTAACACAAACCAATCTGGAATAATAAAACTAGTGCGCCACCAAATGAAAAACAATGGTTGATTGTAGCATAAGTTTATATGCAACTACGTGTACATATATGAGCACGATATGTTATTTTGACTTTTTTCTGTATATCTTTTTTAAGTTTTAATTTAAATACAATTTCGCAATGAAATCTTGTTCCTTATGCAAAACTGTCTAAGGTAAGTGTGCCACCATTTTCGATAAAAAACAAGTTGTTGTCGAAAAATGTAACAACTCGTGATATTTTCTCGTATATGTACACACTAGTTTTTTTACTTATAAGAAATTTTTGCGCACATTATACAAAATCGAATGAAACTGTTTTAAATTTCAAGGTTGTTTATTATAATGTAAATAGGCAATATTTAGATATGTAAATATAGTCTTACACTGTACCATAAAACTAAAGTAAGGTGCCATACATTGTCTTAAGTTAAGGTTAATACTTAAGCCATCTTTAAGCGCAGTTAAAAAGCGCTCGCCCAGAATTAATTTTAATTTCATTGAAAAGTTAGAATTTGCTTTAGCTA